CACACACACACAAACAGACACAAATACCACACAGTGGACAACAATGTAAGGCACCACTGCTTGCTTCACCGAGTGCAAAAACAAAGAGAAAAATAAAAGTTCCCTTTTCCCCGTGCATAAAGCAGGAAGGATGGTGGGGAGGAGGTTGTGGCCTGGGATCTGCTGCCCAAAGCATTTTAAAACACGCCAACATTTCCACAATGCAGACCAGCCACTGTCTGCATTTTTACAACATCCTATAAAATGATACTTAAGTATAGTGCTACTGTACAGCAAAACACACTGTTAAACCAAGAGTGCAAAATGTCATCAGGGCTCGGAGAAGAAAAAGAATGTAGAAACCATTCAATTGGGTTGTGTAATATATGAAATCATTATCACAAACCAGCATAATAAGAACAATATTTCCCCCTACTATGCAGACTCCTGTGTTCAAATTGCATTGAATTACATGAAGCTAAAACTCTTGCACACCATTTTATTTTTTAAGGATAGGGATGACTGCTCTAGGCTCATTACAACAGTACTGGACATCACCTAGTAGTTCTTCTATTTCCTCCATGTTCCTTTCATGCCTCTCCATGAGCTCAGGATGACCTGCTGTTGATTGTGGTTGCTGCACCTCAATAACCCAGTTCTCACCGTGCTGTAACAGTAATCCTCTTTCAGGTGGAGGCAACTGTATACCATTTACCCAACTTCCTCTTACTATCTTACTACACACAAGCTTGTGCAGTCTTGTCTTTTACCCAACACACCGCCAAAACACACACACTCTTTCTCTTGATGTCTGTTAGGTGTTACTATCGAGAAGCAACACTGGCATCACATTGAAGCTCACGTTTCTGTAGAATTTTAACTTACAGGTTTCATTTGCAATTGAAACGTTAGTCTCAAAGTGTCAGGAGCTCAAAAAAAAAAAAAAAAAAAGAAAAGCAGCTGGAAATTTAGTGAAGAAGATGCGGGTTTCTGAGAGCAACGGCAATGATTTTGCAAGAAGCTACTGCCAACATTACACTGCATGTAGCCATCTAGTGTGATAAATTATATATATCGCACACTAATAGAAGTTAGATAATAGGCTAAAAACAGGTCCATATTGTCAAAGAGCATCCTGAATTACCCACACTAATTAGTGAGCTTGTAATTGTACCATCTCTCCACTGTAGAAGTCCTCCCATTCAGCTTCAAACCTTACACTAGTGTGGTAGACAACTCTCGGCATGGTAGGACTGTTTTTACACATTTTCACCGAGGAAACGCCAACCATTCATTGTGGTTACACCCCCATGTAATGCAATGTAAAAACTGTGAGTGACGCCTGTAATAGTGGCAGGAGGCCGTCACCACCCAAACTACTCACCCAGATCTCCTGACCGGCAGACGTTGAGTTGTTAGAGCTGCTCTCCACAAAGATGAGATGTGTAGCTGTGAGGTACAGTGTGCCATTTGTGGATTTGTTGCTGAAGCGATCCAACAGTCGCACCTGCTCCACCTGCAACACACAACCAGGTGATAACATTAACCAGCAGTCAGGTGGTAGTTGGCAGTAAGTGGCACAGGCTCCAGCTGGCACACCACCTAATCCCCACCACCCGGGCCTAACTTTCAGCTGCCAGTTCCATCAGAACAAGAGTAACAAATGATTTGTGGATATGGGAAGTCTAGTTATAGCACTGACTGAACAATTTTAGTTAACTCGTTATTAGCACCTCAAGTCAAACACAACTATATTTTCTCTATTTTTCTTTTTCCCCATTTTTAAAATATATTCTAATATACTGCTGAGGTGTAGCCTTGCCGTGTTCTTCCAATGCCCCCAACCCTTACTCATACTAACGATGCTCACAGTAGAACATTAACTATTCACATGGGAAGAAGGTCGTGGTCCACTAGCTGTAATAAAAAAACAAACAGGTTTTAATAGCTCTGGTGGTCACAATGTCCATTTATAACTTCCTGAAATAAGGTTTAGCAGAAGACCTCCAGTCCAGGATAAATATATATATATATATATTTAGCATGCCTGAAAACATTTTACAGGCCTTAAGTTTTTTCCCCAACATGACAGGCCTGTATTACTGTCTGAAACTCCTTGATAAACTTGATGGTGGATGGTGTAATATGTAACCAAGACACAAAGCATGTGCAGCCTTCAGTGTTGTATTCCTCTCCAACCCCTCTGTAGCATTAGAATCCATTAGAATCAGAGTATCCTGATTGTTACTGGTGACCTGACGCTCTGTGGCCGAGGGCTTTCAGACTGTTACATTTGGACTGTGTGCTGCTGTCGCTGCTAAATGTCCAAATCCATGATTCATCATACTAGCGGCTCTCTTGTTGACTCAGACATCCTCTCTTTGGTTTCCGTTTTCCTGTCGCTTTCAGATATGATGAAATGATTGTCTCCCAGCAACCAGTGGGACACGGCTCTGTCACAGACAAGCTTTTTTAGAGCATAGGGAATGTCAGGGGTGTGCATGAGTTAATGAGTGTGTTAGTCTCATAAGGAAGTCGAGGATGTGAATGTTTTTATTTTGTTAAACTAATGATGCAATCTAAGCTACGATTCAAAGTACCTTGAACACAATATTCACCACATAGCAAAGAGAATTCATTGCATGCTTTTCCATAAGTGAGTCTTTTTTAAAGTAGCATGCACTTATTTAGGTAATCCAACTTAAAACAAAATGTTCTAACAACAATATAAAGTAGTTTTTACACAAAGTGAAAACATATGTTTGTATTTCTGGAACGCAATAAAGCCCTCCTCCGCTGTTTTACGCAAACAAACAACCGACTTGAGACAGTGGGGCCACACCCAGTCTGCATGCAGTCACACCCACCTGATCCCAGCATACCCTAACATAATAAAGCAAGCTCACCTTTCAACATATACGCAGCCTCACACATACAAGAACAGATCAAGCGCAGGCCTAAAGCACGTCCCCAATTTGTGAGCTACAAGGGGCTTATGTAGAGTACGTTTCAGTGGTTCAAGTCAAGGGAAAGCCACCTGAACCATTAACAGTGCAGTCCATAAGTGTTCAGACACACATTTGTGGGTGCGTTGCCTTTGCGCTCAGACATTCTGGATTTGACATGAACTGTGACTATGAGGTAGAAGTGCTGCCTGACTTCCAGCTTTAATCTGAAGGCGTGTACCTCCACACTGGGCGAACAGAGTATAAACTGCAGCTCCTTTTAACACACAATCGCTTCCACTTTGACCATTTAAACTTAAAGTCATCATATTTAATATCTGGCTGCAAATCATTTTCTCAAATCAATCACTGTCTTAAGTCTACAACCCACAGACACCACTGGCTATCTTTTCTAGCGTTGCTCTGCAGGGCCTGTGCTGCAGCAATCTTCAGTTCTTGCTTGTTTGGGAGCTTTTTGCTTTCAGTCTGGTCTTCAGTAAGTAATCTGCATGTCAGGTGACTGACTTGGCCAGCTAAAAGCATGGCCCTGTGTGGCTGTATGCTCAGGATAACTGTCCACATGGTAAAAGTGTGCGACTAAATATGACTAGGACCACTATCAGACATAGAGTCAGCACTGTACTGTCTGTTAAGTCCACCAATGTGCCATTTAACGGAGCTTGGATTCACCCAGTGCTGCTCCATCACACCGGATGCACTGACTCATAGTGTAACGTTAACTCAGTCAGTACTATGGAGTGCAAGTTGCATTACAAAAGAAGGGAGCCCAGATATCTGCTGTACGGGGAAAAACAAACCGCTCACTGATGCTCGTCACGTCTGACACTTCAAGCTGCTGGCTACACCTGCTGGTTATCATGTATTAGACTGATCCACGCACATCGAGCCTAAACATTGATTTCTGGCTAACACTGCCACACTCAAGCATTACACAAATCCCAACAAGACAGGCCGAGCTGCTGACTGTGTCCCATCCATTTGCAATTAGCTGGACGTGTTAGCTTACCTTTGGCGTTCGGATATGCTCCATTTCTCCGAGGGGAAACAGCTGTCAGCGACCGCAGAGCTTCACACGACGCCTTCCGGGGACCACTGTATCATTGATAACAACGGTGGCTCAAATTGCTGCACAAAGCGCCCTTACTGTGTTGGAGGCATACGATATGTGTTTATTGTCAATTATTTTACTCCTCCATCCGCGTAAAGAGCCTGGCAATACCGTCAACACTTAGGGTTGGAGGTTTTCGAAGTAAAAGCACGAGTTTCTGTAACGTTAGGTATTTGGATAGCATGATATGGGTGAGGAATTTATCCCAGTATCTGTGTGTATCTGGTTTGGTCAAGAGAGAGGTAGAGGGAGGTATTTAGAGTATTTATTATTGTGAAATGTAAATTTTATTTTATATAGTATATTTGCAGTATGAATTTATCTGTAAAAAATAGTTTAAATAAAGTGTAAAACAAAAGAGAGATTTCAATTTCAAAAAAGTCAGATCAAAAGACTAAAAAAAATTAAATAATTCACAAATAAAATGAAGCAATTATGGCTATAATGCCGAATTTGACACGTTTGTACACCGTTTTGCTAATACGTGAGTTGGAGAGTTGCCTAACTATCGACATACATAAAGATTTTAATTGATATGTCGATGGGCCTGACCCATGCACACGCCTGTGTCTTTTATTTTGAAAGCGAGGCCGGAATCAACCTGTGATCTTTTGACGCTAATGGACGTATTTTTAGAAACGTCCGCAAGAACCACAGTTGGTGCCTTGCGCATGCGTGAACAAAGTCGTCACCGTCAATGCCCGTCACGCGATACAAATACAGCGATAGGGACGACGGGAAACGTAGTTTAAACTCGATTACCCAAAATGCAATAGCATTCGGGAAATACCAGGCGCGGAATAGGAAAAGTAACACATGCGAGAAGTCAACCTGCAATATTTGGCAGCTTTACAAATCTAAAACAAACGAATAGGGTGCGGAAATATACCGGGATACAACTGCATATAGTCGGATTTGTTTTTAAAAAGCGCCAGTTGTGTATGAGTATGATTTGAGCAAAGATAAACCGCGAATTTGGCCCTTTCAAAGCTAACAACGTTAGCGTGCTAGATGTGACTGTGGGTTGCTCGCTGGCCGTCCTCATGAGTAGCTGAAGTCCAGTTAGCCAGTCGGTGGTGAATGTTCGGCTCTTAAGATACAATGTCTGGCTTTAACTTCGGATCAGGGACTCTTGGTTCCGCCAACACTGGTGGAGGGTTTTCATTTGGGACCGTAACCAGGTAACGTTAACGCCATGATTCAAATAGCAGACTTAGCTAACGTTAGCGTAGCATGGAGTCAGTCTAACGTCTTAAGACTTTACAACATTACCAGAGTATCTGCACGTTATCGTCGAAGGGACATACGTTTGTGAAGAACATGAATATGGGAGTGTAATTTGTTGCTTTGTATTACGTTCGCAGAATAATGAGAAATTATGATATAAGAGTAATGATTACTGTAAGTTCAAAGTGATGTTCTGCCTGTTGCGTACTTGTGGTTCTTAGCTGAATGACGTGCGGTATCTCAGCTTTACCACACCAGCTTGACCCACCAAGAGCAAACTACAGGTTGTCCTGCTAATTTGTAGTCCTATATGTAACAAATAAAACGTGCCAGGTAAAAAGTAGGAAGGCATTTTCTTTTAAAAGATGTTGTCTTTCTGTTTGCATCACTGCAACAGTGACAGAGCTGTCTTCTTAATGTGCTACTTGACTCTGGTATCCTGGAAGAACTGTGAGTATGTGACTGATTGTATTGCCTTTTCCCTCTTTAGTGCACCTGCAGCCAGTACTGGTGGCTTCTCTATTGGGACTGCTCTGGGTACAGCAGCTGCAGCCCCAGCCCCCGCCACAAGCGCCACTCAAGCTCTTGGCCTAGGAGGCAGTCTCTTTGGTCAGAAACCTACCGGAGGATTCTCTTTCAACACACCTGCCTCAAGTAAAAATGTCATTCAGATCCATAAACAAACCCATAAATTCCTGTGTAGTTGACATGTCTGCCTGCTGCGGTCATACACCTTGTCTTATGTTGTGTTGTGTTCTCTTCTAGGCGCTGCTGCACCAACTACCGGCCTTACATTAGGTGCGTTTGTATCATATTTTTTAACTAAGATTTTGTAAAGGCAATGAAAACAGGTTCTAACCTTCTATGTATACCTCATCTCAGGTGCCCCAGCCACTTCAGCTGCATCCACTGGCTTCAGCTTGGCCTTCAACAAGCCCACTGCCTCAGCAACACCCTTCTCCCTCACCACCTCCGCTACCACCTCCTCATCAGCTCCCGCAGGGGCAGGTTTATCATTTGGGTCTGTCCTGACATCTACAGCTCCACAGCAGCCTGCAGTCACAGGCTTCACCCTCGGTCTTGGTGGCACAAACACCACAACAGCAGCCTTAACAGGCCCGTCACTGGGCGGGGGTCTCTTCTCCAACACTGTGTCTGCAGGTGAGATGCAAACAGACAGCCTGAGCTTGAGGTCAGCTATATGTTGCGGTAAATGTTGCAGTGTTGTAACGAGTTTACTCTGTGTTGCAGGTTTGGGTCAGACCACTCTTGGAGGAGGAGGGTTAACATTGGGTTCTCTGTTAGCAACCTCCACAGCAGTATCAGCGGCCCCTGCGCCCAGCATTGGCTTGGGCGGAGTCGACTTCAGCACTTCTTCTGAGAGTAAGAGCGACGCATCATCTGGAGCCAATGCACAGTAAGTCCTGCTGACACACGATTCTTTACTAAAAGGAAAAGCTAGAACAACTGTCCTGAACGGTCTGTGCTATAATGTGAAAACATATAAACAGCGGTTTATTTAGAGGCAGTCAGTAGCTTCCCATCCTGTTCATGTATACCTGATCACCATGGACTGTTCATTTCGTTATAATTAAAAACACTCTTTTTCTCTCCCGCAGGGACAGTAAAGCTTTAAAAGACGAGAACCTGCCCCCAGTCATTTGTCAGGATGTCGAGAATTTCCAGTAAGTGTTGTGTGTGTACATTGTTCGGTCACAAGCCTGGGGACATTGCTCGGTACAGTAATTTGTTTAAAGCATGCAAATGTTAGCTGATTTTTAACAGTAGTTGTGTTGTTCCAAAGGGGATGTGGTTCATTCATGTTGTGGGTTGAAATATGGCTACAAGGATCACATTAACAGAAAGCAATGACTTTTTGACATATTAGGTGGAGTGTGGCACTGTACTGCAAAATTAAAATATTTTTTAATTGGTACTAGTGCACTGTTATTTTAGTTCTGGCAAACATTTTTATGTTGTCTGAGTAATTTCCAGTTGTCTTTCTTCCTCCTTTTTTATAGAAAATTTGTGAAAGACCAGAAACAGGTTCAGGAGGACATCAGCAGAATGTCGTCGAAAGCCATTTCTAAAGTCCAAGATGACATCAAAAGCCTCAAACAGCTTCTCTCTGTCAGTGCCAGCGGTCTGCAGCGGCAAGCTCTGGCCATTGACAAACTAAAGCTGGAGACAGCACAGGTACAGTACATCTGCACACACGCAAGTCTTTTTAGTCCTGGTGCACAAAATGTATATGGTCATATATCTGTTGTCAATATGAGCATACGTCAAATACATATACAGGCATAGCTTCATAGCAAGGAGATCTCGGTTGTTAACTGTCTTCTACTCACATCAGCGGAAAATTATCTCCAAGAAAGAGATGGTACCTTGAATATACTCATATAAAAATCTGTCTTTTGACTTTGCTCTTTCTTTTCTTCTTAAGGAGCTGAAAAATGCTGACATAGCCCTGCGTACACAAAAGACTCCCCCTGGACTTCAACACGAGAACACTGCGCCATCAGAGTAAGTAAGCTACCAGAGAATAGTCCCAAAGCAAATCAAGGGGGGGTGCAGTAGATTTTATTTATCTCTTGACACAGTTTTAAGCTAAAACTTTTTTTTTAAAGTTGAGTTTGAGTCCCATCGAGCAAAAATACATAATCATTTTATCAGTAGTGTCATCTTCTTGACCTATAAACCAATATAAGCCCCTCACTAGTCTCTCAGTTGTTTCCTATATAATGTATCAGCTTTCATGACTTCATGGATTTAATAAGATAAAAATGTGTATTTTTGTTTTGTTTAGTTATTTCCGTAGCCTGATAGAGCAGTTTGAGGTGCAGTTGCAGCAATACCGGCAGCAGATAGAAGAACTCGAGAACCACCTAACAACGCAGAGCACTGGCTCCCACATCACTCCTCAGGGTAAGAGGACATTGGTCTGACTCGTAACATGGCTGCAATAGTCAATATATTTTATATTAACATTAAAGCTGAAGATGTGTAGTGTGAACGTGGTTTCTCTCAGTGACAAACTACAGATCTGTTTAACCAGGTTAAACACTTCCCTCTTCATCTTTTTATTTAACGCTCCACAAATGAGCACCCAGCTTTATTGTGTATGTTTTTGTTTCTAGACTTGACGTTGGCCATGCAGAAGTTGTACCAGACATTTGTCGCGCAGGCTGCTCAGCTCCAGTCTGTCCACGAGAATGTCAAGGTGAGTTCTTTTTCGTTGTCTCTTTCTGAAAATGAGTAAATATTCTCATCAACATCGCACTGTTTAAAATGTGTTTAATAATGTCTAGGGCTGTGGTAAGACATTTATTAGGTTTAAGTAGTAATACGTGATAATGTGATCATATTGTGTTATTGTTTTACAACATTTTGTTGCAAATAAGATGTGTGAACAACATTGTAATTGCATCCTCCTTTTTTTTTTTTTCCATCTTTCCCTTTTGTTTGTGTCTCATGTCATAGATTTTGAAGCACCAGTACCTTTCCTACCGTCGGGCCTTCCTGGAAGACTCCACAGACGTCTTTGAGTCCAAACGAGCGTCTAACAGGAAGTGGCAGAGCGCGCCGCGAGTCACGACTGGGCCTGCCCCATTCTCCAGTGTGCCCAATGCTGCAGCGGTTGCCATGGCAGCCACGTTGACCCAGCAACAGCAGCCAACTCCAGGTCTGACTGCCTACAAGTTCTAGAAAGTTCTACTCCTCTCACCTTTTAAAATAAAGGAGGGAGAGGAGAGACAAGTATAATAAATTTTGAAGAGCATAAGTGCGTTTTTAAAAAGGAGGCAATCGCTGGGAGTAGACGGGTGACAAGGGGACAGAGAGAATGATAAAAAAATAATAATAAAAAAAAGCCTTAG